GAGAGAGAGAGAGAGAGAGAGAGAGAGAGAGAGAGTTGTTCTTTTGTTGGGAGTGGCTGAAAGAACGTAGAATGAATGCGCATATAAAAGGGGCCGGGGGAATACCCTGGAGTGAGGAGCTAGTGATGGCCACCATCATCGCCATCAGGACCGCTGCTTTTCTTGTATCCTCCTCATCACCATCCAAGGTTAGGGCGTCGATTCCATCAACTGCAACCTCCATCTCTCGCTTCCGTGCTCCTCCATCTTTCCACTCTCCGACATTTTCCTCCCTCTCCGCCCGCTGCTCTTCTCTCAATGACGAAGCAGCAGAGACGGTTCCCGCTGCCCCTCCCTCGGACGAGGAGAAGCCATCGGCTGCACCACCACCACCTATTATTAGCAGCATCAATGAAACCGCCACCACAATGACAACCATAACAGCAAAGGAATTGGCGGATGGTTTGGATCTAAGGGTCGGCCGCATCCTGAAAGCATGGACGCACCCTGAAGCTGATACTCTCTATGTCGAAGAGGTGGACGTGGGGGAGCCAGGGCCCCGCACGATATGCAGTGGCCTTGTCAAATACATTCCGCAAGACCATCTTCAGGTGTGTTTTCACCCCCTCTATGTGCGTGCCTTTGTGTAATGTGTTGTGGCTTGTGAATTATGTGAACCACCAAGCCGGCAAGAGTACAGTCACGCATCTTTGATACGATCATTCTTACTCATAACTGGGCTAATATGAAGGAATAACTGCTTAAATGCATCGGCCAATATGAGGGAACGAATATGTTACATCTACTGTTCTCTAAAAGAAACCAATACATGTTCCAAAAGGATTAAGAGAAAATCCCAAGAAAATGTGATTCTTAAAATTTGTTATCATTGTTCCAAAACGATTAAGAGAAAGTCTCACAAAAATGTGATTCTTAAAATTTGTTAGCATATTGAATTGAGACGAAAGGCAAGAATACTTTATATGATGGCGATGTGAAGGCATGCAATGGAAGGCATGTGGATCACATTCACAAATATGAAGGTTGCTTCATAATTACCTGTGCTGGGTATTGGGTGCAAACATTGACGTCACACGAGTTTCATTAGTGTTTGAATTCTGATGTATGTTGTCATACCTTACCAACTGAAAAAAGTATGCAGAAACTCCATTCTCATTTAGTTGGAGGAGTTTCAGTTGTTTACTTTATCAACACTGATATTTGGTATATGCAGGGCAGAGAGGTGGAGTTTCAGTTGTTTACTTTATCAACACTGATATTTGGTATATGCAGGGCAGAGACGTAGAGTTTCAGTTGTTTACTTTATCAACACTGATATTTGGTATATGCAGGGCAGAGACGTAGTTGTCCTTGCAAATCTCAAGCCAAGGAATATGCGGGGTGTCAAGTCAAATGGGATGCTTATGGCTGCCTCGGATGAGTCACATGAGAATGTTGAGCTTCTTTCACCTCCTGAAGGTTCTATCCCTGGGGAAAGGATCTGGTTTGGCTCAGAAGATGACAAAGCCAACCAACTAGATCCAGCTACTCCCAATCAGGTTAATTCCTATATGTTGGTCTCGTTTCAGAAATGGTCTTTAATGAAATCATGTTCTTGCCTTCTCCAAAACTTAAGTTTTTACTTACATTGTTTGGTCAATGCATATTAAGTAGCTGGACACTTGCAATGCTAAATGATTGTAACCTTTTAGCACCAATTTCCTACTTAAGGTTATTTTTTTTCCTTTTTCTGTCCCTAATTGTTCCCTGTATGTGCTTTAGTCATCACTGCCTCATTCTTTCCCTGAATAATATTTTTTGCTCTGTAGATTCAGAAGAAAAAGATCTGGGAATCTGTGCAGCCACATCTCAGGACAACTGACCTCTGTGTAGCAGCTATTGGAGAGCATCCGATGCGTACATCAGCTGGGGTGGTGGTCTGTAATTCCCTAAAGAATGCAAAGATCTCATGAGCACTACCTATTGTTTCTATGCTACTCTCAGCATCTTGAATGGTCACCTTGTCATATTAATGAGCAATCTTCGATCTAGCCGATCCTGGAGTCCCCCTAGTGCATGATAGTAGGTTTCATAATACATATTTTCCTGGGAAAATGCATAGGTTGCTGTAAGTTCTCTACATCAAACTGTAATGTTGTTTTTTTGTTCGTATTTGTTTATGTCATAAATAAAAGTCACAATTCATGCATGGAAGTATCCTTTATTTCTCGGGAAATTTTTTACTGTTGATTGAGAGTTTTTTGGTTTTCATATTTCTAACTTGTTGTTTTTCTACCATATGAAAATCATGCAATTCAAAAAACTGGATTATGTATACTATGTGATTTTTAGTGTGTGTAATTCACTGTGACTGCAGATGCATTTATTAAAGAGGTGATATCTGTTCTTTATTCTGTGATAAGCACAATGCCGTTTCTCTCCTGTGAACTATGTGGCCTTGTTTATAATGACCACCCTACTGAAACTACTATCCACATTATCAAATTTCAGTGCAAAGGTTGAGTACATTGCTACTTGGTAGTCTCTAGTAGGAAACATATACTACCAAGTAGGAAACATATGGATTTGTGCTTTTTTCAGTGATATAGGATAATAGGAACCTAGGTTGCGGTGCTTAGCCTTTTTTTTGGAGATAACATTGGCACCATCAGAAAGGCTGCAAATGATATGTTCATAACTACAAGAAACACATTGAGGTAGATTGCCACTGTGTCAGAGATAGGTGCATACTGTGTAATAGTCAAGTTGATGAAGTTGCAGATTTTCTTATATTAGAATTAATCCTATATAGACACGACTAGTTGGTGAATGTGAGCGAATGTAAGTATATGCTTCTTAACTTTTCTTTTGGTGGGTGAGGGGAGGGGATGCTGGGGAGAGAGGTAAGGTCTTACCCTTGAATGTCCTTGGAGTGGGATTATCCCCATAGAAGGAGAATCAACTTCTGAGAGATCTCCCAAAGATGGCTGCCTTGGCAGAAGATGTCAGGAAGCCTCTCTATCTCATAGAGTTTACTGAACAAATGAAACAAACATAGTTTATTGAATGGAAAAAAGAAAGATACAAGGACCAATATGAAGTTCTGCACTATTGAGTTGATCTATCCCAAAAAGCAAGCCTCATCAATGAAATTATGATCAGAGTAAAATTGCAGCACTCTAATAATTAAGTACTCATGATGGACTATGATGGTCCCTTGTTATTATGATAAAATGCAAAGATATTGTCACTGCAGCTGGCCGAGCTGGTTGGTCTGAGCTTTGCCAAACAGTAAGTCAATCAGTTGCACAAATTCAAAAGGAGGGACTCATACCAGCTCTTTACTGACGAGTTGAGCAGTAAAGATTGATGGTGTTCCACATTTCTCTATATTATCTACTAGTTAATGTCTCCAACACTTTTTTTTTGACTAAATGACATTATTTCCTTGATGGTTAATTTGTCAAAGAAAATTTCCTTGACCATAAACCCTATAATATATGTGGCCACAATACCATAAGGCATAGTCATCTTATGAACTTTTTTTGCAGAAGAAGAGAGTTTGTATACCAATTGTTTGGGTGTGTTTTGTATCAGAACTGACATAGTTCTGAAATCGGGAATGATCATATTGTCCTGAACTTAGAATGTCATTATAACGACTTTCAAAGAAGCTGGAACTTTGGATATACCCTTGGAACTATGAAATAATCCCATGCTCCAAAAATTATAAAGTTTGGGGTCTATATCAATAGGTATGCGAAGTTCATCGCGGGCTACAGTACCATGAATAGTGTCTTGCAGTGAACTGCTTAAAGTGGAGCAGATGGTGCCGAATGCTTGATGAAGGCATTTTGAAGCTGTCCATCAAAAATCATGTAATTTGGATGAGGTTTTAGGGTCAACAGATGTTCATTGCATGCTACAGCACCACTGAATAGTGTCTCGTGTTAAACTTTTGATCTGGGTCCAAATCTTGTCCAAATCAGATAAGATTTGGCGGAATGGTCGAAAATTATATTTCTATAGATGTTTGCAAAGTATTATATGATTTGGGCATAATTATAACGGTTTCCCAAAGTTCATCACGAGCCTAGTAAAGGCATATGTGCCTCTGGCTGTGAACTCTTGATTCGATGTGAATGATGTCAAAATTGGCTGAAATTCATGGAGACTATGGATTTGGGGTAGCCAATATTCTGGCAAAGCTTCATGAGAAATAATTGAAACTTGATTGTCCTTTGAAAGTTCGTTGCGAGCCATGGGTTATGTGAATATTGCTCATGGCAAACTATGAAAATGGGATAAAATGGTCATGTAATGTAGTGCAACTTTGCAGATATTATTGTTCAGGTCTGTCAAGGACACATAACAAGTTTTGTGCGATTAAATGATGAGATTCTGAAAAGTCCACAGTGAAGCTCTATGCTTTAGATTGTCTTTTGTGGTGAACTTTTGAACCTGGTATTTTTGGGAGAGTGGATTGTAATAGATTGATCTAGACTGTCCGAGCAGTGTTTTTAAAGGCTGTTTCAATTGGATTTAGGGAAGTGAATCTCGTAATCAGTAAGATTGGGACAAGTGCCAAGGAAAACCTGCCTTTTAATCTTATATCTGGGTTCTTTCTTAAACATGGAAAGATCTCATGCAGTTTGATTCAAAAAATTGTGGAGGTGAAGTCGGAAGCGATTCTTTGAAGAATATTTCTGGTATGGCAAGATAAATTCAAGATTGGAAGAAAAGTCAGCAAGTTTGCATAAACTTGAACTTTCTGACATATTGATTTGATGTTCGAAGTTCTTGAGATATATGGCATGATAGTTGATGAAATCAGAGCTATTGGATATGGATTTTGATGGACCAAGAAGAAGGGATTTGGCGGATGAGCATGTTAATTTCAGTGCCTTCTCGCCCTTTGTGGCGAAGTTTCCTAAAATCTGATATTTGTTCCTCAGATCAGGGAATGAGGTGCCCCATTAAGTATGTAATCTCCAGGTGTCTGTTGTCTGATGGCCCCAGATGGCAGGAGTGTCTAAAAGCATGAGATTTGAAGAAGAAAAGCATCCAAGAATGAAAATCTTCTTCATTATGCCTCTATATACAGGGTCTTTTAACATAATTTTTCCTATTTAGAGAGAGAAGGAGAGAATATGCAAGTCTAGCACGAATCTCAAATCCTAATCTTGCTGATTCAAAGCCAAGACTTTGTGAATTTCTCATATATGAAGATCTACATAACTGCCAAGAGATTAAGAGGATCGAATCAGAACCTTGAAGCAAAGCCCCGAGTAGTTCTATAGAGAGAGAAACCAGCTAGATGCCTTGTTTATGCACAAGATTGTTATGTAAATCCCTGTGTCTTATCTCTATGTTTTTTTCTTTTGTTGAGTGTCTAATGGCTTTGTAATCATGGATTAGATATCTTTCCTTCTTTATGTATAAAGATTGAATGGAAATGAAACAAGTTGCGTACAAGTGCTCGAAACTCTTCCCAAACTCATTTTTGTAAAAGAATCTAGAGTGAATTTGTTCCTTAATGGCATGGTTCTCTAGTTTTGTTTGGTTGGAATCATATTTCCTTTCAAATCCCTTCAGTACATTTAGGCGAAACACCAATTAACTGCGTTAAGTCCTTTTATCTAAGTTCTAGGACCTAAGTGTCCTTTCATAGTTTTTTGCCTTTCATATTTTGTTATTAATATGTAAATGGCTAAGAGGTGCCCGAGGGTCTGTTTTTTGAACCTCACGTCACTCTCTTCTCTCTTACGCGTCTCTCATATCCCTGTCTCTTCTCTCTCTTAACACATCTCTCTTATCTCTTTCTTTTCTCTTTTCTCTCTGTAATTCTCTGAGAGCATATCTGATCTTTCATCTTCCCCTTTCTCTATACCCAAAACTTTAATCTTCCCTTTTCCATTCATCTTCCCCTTTCTCTAATCCTAAACTTTCGTCTACACTTTTCTCTAAACCCTAAACTTTCATCTTCCCTTTTCTCTAAACCCTAAACCTTCATCTTCCCATTATCTAAACCCTAAACTTTCATCTTCCCCTTTACTTAAACCCTAAAATTTTATCTCCCCCTTTTCTTTCCCAAAAAAAGAGAAAAAAAGAGTAAACCCTAACCGAATTCATGCCGATCTTGTCAAGAGGTACCCCAGGTTTATTCAATCTAAGGCCTGTGGCTATTTCCTCGGGTTTTGTGTGCAAAAGGCCATGTGGATTTGCTGTTAGTGTGGTGATGCTGCAACATATGTTTCTCTTTCAAGATGAAGACCTACTGAGAGGTTGTGACCCAGGTTCAATGATGGCAGCATGGTGATGCTTAGATGTGTTTAATGCCGTGTTGCCCTAATTAGTTGAAGCATGAGAACATGACTGGATTTGAATGATAATTATCTCTCTTCTCTTTATGTGGTTTCTAACATTGTACTGGGCTTGTGTGAGTGACTGAAATTTGCCGATCCTAGTTTTCTCTTTCCCCTTTATGTTATATACTCGTGTATAAGGAAATTAAACTTGGAAACCTTAGTCATCCTGAAATTGTGGGGATGCAAATGTATCAAACACTAGCAACCCAAGTAGGAAACTGAGAAAATGAAATACGAAGTGGATAATAACTGCATATAAAAGAGAAGCATAAATTTGTGCAAACAAATGCCTCGCTTAGTAATAACAATCACCTCAGAGTCACAGCCATTTACTTATTCCTTGTTTATGTTCCTTGTATAGTTCTTGCTTTGTAGCAATTTAGTTTCTTTTATCCTCATCACAGAACATTGCTTTCATCCAACTGTCTAGACATCGAACTTAAATTGTACCCAAAAAGTTGTTTCACAACCTTGCTACAAACAATGAAGGCATCTCAAATCAAATATTTACATCATAATCATCCTTATCACATTTTACTTTTTACTTCCAGTGGTGCATTAGTAGCACAATTGGGAGATTTTTTTTAAAAAAATGAACTTGATATGAGTTTGAAGAAAAATTCATTAATTGGATCAAAAGATGTTGCACAGCACCCAAACTCCATTATAATTATGGGCATGGTCTATACTAAAAATATGAGTTTTTTTAATATAATAATTGTTTGTAGTTATAACTCTATAATATGTACTAAATAAGTAAAAAATGGGTTAATAATAATTGGTTGTAGTTATAATTCTATGATATATAATAAATAAGTTTATTATGTTTGCTAAATGATGAGAGTGGAAGCTACAACCATTCTATTTG